TGGTCAATGTTGCTCAAGCAGCAGTTTGCCGTAATCGGAAGTGTCTGGATGTTGATGATAACCACTTTGAGCACCTCTTGTAATTGCAGAAGTCAAACATGACTTGTATTCATCTTTCGTTATCGGTATATATTGAGTATTACAATTTTAATAGTAATATTTCCTTTCTTAAAATGTGTAAACATTTTTTTGGGCACCCTCTGTATATACAATTCAGCCTTAACAAGGAAATTTTGACACATATGACAACATGAAATGAACCTTGCAAATATTATGCTCAGTGAAATAAGCCAACCACAAAAGGACAAATACTGTATGATTCCACTTATGAGGTACTTAAGTAGTCAAAAATCATAGACATAAAGTAGAATGGTGGTTGCTGGGGGTTGGAGGAAAAAAGCAAATGGGGAGTCCTTGTCTAATGGGTACAAAGTTGCAGTTTTACAAGATGAAAAGAGTTCTGGAGATGGATGGTGGTGATGGTAGCACGTTACAAATATATTTAATACCACTGAACACTGCACACTTAAAAATGGGTAACATGGTAAATTGTATGTTTATGTGTATTTTACAATAAAAAATTAGAAAACAATAGAAATAAAAAAACAAGTGGCTGAGAGGACATAGTGTTTAACACTGAATATTCTAGCAGCTGACATCACGAAAAGAGTTCCTCTATCAGGGTCTCATAAAAGTTAACATGTAATTTGGTTTTAAAAAGAAATTACACGTGAAGATATGAAAAAGAAAACAATGGGACAAAAAACAAACAAACCAACCCACAAATAATTTTTATTCCTAGCTCAGCTAAAAGTAATCCTTGTTAAATATTTTATCTTTCTCCTTTCTCATGAAAAAGAGGCTAAGGGAGTAACAGACACCTGCGCTTTAAAGCTCAGGCCAACGACTCATACCTGATGTCCACTCGAAGTTTAGGGTAATACTGAGACACATATTTTCTGATGAGACTGTAGGAAGCTTCTTTAGGTTCACAAAGGCGTGTAAAGGCCAGTGGAAGGATATCCTCCAATTTTACTTGTGGTTCTGAATCCACTGCAGAGCTCCTGTTCTGAAATGTAATATCAAAAGTTATTACCATTAGAGAATATAGAGATTCCTGTTCAAATGTTTCTATATTCAACTCAAGGGCTTTTCTAAGTTGATTGCTGAAACAACTAACGAATAGAAAACTATCACTTTTTTTCATATTCAAACAAATCATACCACAGTGATGTAATGTTACTTGTGTGGCAACTTACGAGAAAAATTTCAGATTGCGAGAGTTAAAAATACATATAAAGAAAGGAATGGTAGACTTTATTTGAAGGTCAGAATTCATTCTTAGCCTTTAATAACAAATAGTGAAAAGGATCATGCAACACCAAAAAGCACTGCACAAAAGTTCATTTTGAAAGTGTCTGCCAGTTTTATGAAACAAAGTACAAAAACCTTCAGTTGTAAAAACAAAGATGTAGAAAATGTTCCTTCAATTACCAACATTGAAGAAATACTAGATATTTATTTCACTTTACTATTGTACAAATACTTTCCATAAATGAAATTATGTATCTTGGGGAGGAGGAGTGGTAGTATTTATAAAAAAAGGAGAAGAAAAACCGGCCCTGGGTATAGTTTTGGGGTCTAATATTGAGTAAAAATGTTCTTGTATGCCTCTTCTAGTTGAAAAAGATATTTCACACAAAGGAGGACAATTCATACAGCTACCCACAGTTCAACACAGGCAGGTAAGTCCACATACGCTGGAGCTGGAGCGCTTGGATTTGCAGCCTATTCTACTCACTAAGCTAGCTGGGCAATAATGAGCCAATTACTTGTAATCTCTTTAAGTCTTAACAGAAGGGACTTGGCATAATGCCTGGCACAAAGATGCTATTTTGAGTAATAGTAATAGTATTACAGCTCATACACTGTGCTATGAATGTCTTACCTTTCTGTTTCTTGATTTCTGAGGGATTTTTCTTGATTTCTGGACCACCACAAAACTCCCAGAAGCACCTTTTCCTTTTACCTAAAGTAAATTAATTTTAGTTGCAATAACCAGTATTTTTACTTTAAATTATTCTGGTAGTCATATTTATAACTTCATACCAGACTAAGCAAATTAAAGGGCATAGTGATATAAGAGCTAATGTAAAATGCTGTTGAATTCTTCAGAGAAAAAATAAACAACCAACGGATTAGTAAAAAGACTTGGGACTGATCTCATTTATGGTATTGTCAAGCTGTTCAATATTGGACTACCTTACAAACCCGAGCTTTTGTTTCCTTATCTACAAAATTGGAGAATGCTATTGTGATATCAGATTAAACAGTCCACTACAAGCTTTCCAAAAAAAAAAAAAAGTCCCATAGAAGGAAGGGATACAATCTCTTGGGGAAAATGAGAAAAACTTCTATTTTTGAAAGGAAGATAGCTCCTTGGCAAAAATTCACAGGCCATAATGCTTCCCACAGGTTGCCTATTACAGATTATTCTTGCATATGGGAAAGGTTATCTAGTAATTTTTAAGACATTGCACATGATGGTACATAAGTCTTACCACATATTTCTATAGTTTTACAAAGCACTTTCATAGGACTTTAGAGTTGATTTACATTAACCTGAGTCCTTCACACCTTAGCTTTACCTACACTGCTATGAATATAGCAATCCAGTTGAAATGCTTTCAGCCTATAAACTGTTGTTTAAGCATCAAACTGGGGCTCAGCCTATGAGGCACGAATAGGTAGGTCACAAACCATATTTTTATAAACAAAACCACAAAGCTAGCTCATAGACTGTGAAATATATTATGATATAGGACAAGTCTTTGTTTTTAATTATATTGATTAGATAGTATCTTTTAACCCTCCATTGGGCGCAACTGATCTCACAGATTCATTGCACACAAAGATGCCGCTATGAATTAGGTCTTTACTGTACTAAGTCACAAACACGACTGGCGATAGGTTATGGTAGAGAGGGAAGATATGGAAGCAATGAATCATGACACTTAACCATTAAGGTATTTGAAAATTTGTGTGCAATAAATCTGTGAGATCAGTTGCGCCCAACGGAGGGTTAATCAATGATTATTTTAAAGGTCACTTAAATATCAGTTTTACAACATTTTGAGAAAGCTAGAGTGTAAGCTCCACACAGAAGGAATCTGTTTCACTACTGATGGACCCCCAACCACCTGACACACAGAAGACACTCAATATATATTTTGGAATTAAGTACTTGTTGAAAGTTTTTAAACAGAGTTTAAACGTCTGAGTGGCACAGAATTCTATATTCATCAAACCATGCAGCAAGTGTAGAAGAAAAGCAAGAGGACTCTGGGAATGCCATGAACTAGGTCCTTAGAACCATCTTTGCCACTCCCATGGGATCTTGGTAGTTACTTCACCCCTCTGGACTTCTGAAGTTTAGAAAAGATAAAGTCCATTCTAGCTTTGGATTTTCATGATTCTAAGCAACATTTTGATGTACTATGCAAAGTACAAATTTATGCTTAAAATCAATAGTGGTTTTAGTACCAGTCTCAATTTACTCAGGCTTCTCTGATGCTCCTAACAAGCTTTAGCAGTTTTAGATACTATTAAGTTAAGGTGTACCTATTTACAAAGCTAATTTATAATGGTAACAAGTCTAGTAACATAACCTCGGCTTTAAAACTAACCAACCTAAACTAACACAAGAGCAATTATCTTTTTTGTTGCTGCAATAATAGGATTCCTTAACCTTGCTTCTCATCACCACCACTACATTACCTCAAGCACATGCAGTCCCCAAAGAAAATCCAATTAAAAGTACAAGCAGAGAGAAAATAATCACACTAGGCATCTTATTGCTTCTGCTCTCTAGAATAGTTATTAAAGGTAACTCACACTCATGATTTTGAAACCTAGTCTCAAATAATAAAACTGGGTTACGCTTAAGCAATTCACTACCATGTTAACATATTTTTAATTAAAAAAAGACAAAAAGCCTAAATGTTACTAAATATGAAATTAAATATCGTGGAATTATGTAGCTAATACATGTTGGAATTATTTTATTACCAACAACTGTTTAATACCTGTTTGATGACACCTCTATTTAATTCTCTTTTCAGTGCTTGTTTAAGGAGGTAGCCCCTTCTCTCCAGCTCCAGTGAAGGGTACTTATGGATGATATATTTTCGAATAGCAACAACTGATGCACCACTCTTCTGGAAGCACGCCTAGAAAACAGGTTTATCAAACCATACACAATACTTTTAACTATCTTTTTCATTAGACAGAGAAGCTGACATATACATTTTCAAAATAAATTATTTTGGAAGTAAACTTGATAATGAATGATAAAATGGCAGGAAAGAATGAACAGTATTTCAGGTAACTTCAGTTCATCATGGTTGTGGAGAAATGCAGAATTATAATATTTCTGCAACAATTTAAAAATGTTCAAAACGTCAAAGGGAAGATATAACATGTGAACAACATTCTGTATGTTAATGAAGAACTTCTTTCTATTTTAACTCTATTCTATATTTAGAAGACAGATCTTTAGCATTAAAATGAGGAAAGCAGAACACTGAATCACAGATTTGGCCCATTTTATAGAATAGTTTTGGCACACCAGGACCAACATTTCTCTGCAGGCTTGTGTGAATGTAAGACAGGAACATAAGCAAAGATAATCTGAATAAACGGCATAAAGCTAAGTTTACAGATGGCAAAGTCTTACGGGGAGTTTTGGGTAACAATGAGGTATTTAACTGCCCTCTTCTATTTCCATTTTATTTATCCATGTTCCATTTGACTAATACTTGTGGAAGACTTAAGCAGGTTATTATGTCACAAAGGCAGCAATTTTTTCTCAAATGCTTTATATTCTGAAGCACACTTAAATAGCATCTGTTATTTATCTAATGGGCTAGTAAGTCCACCGATTTTGTGTTGCCACTGTCTATAAATTGAATGCAGCACTAACGCATTCTCGTTCAGACTTGGTTGAATGTTATTTTATGGACTTGAAAATAAAAAAAAAATAACTCACAAACAGATGGACCAGAAAAGATTATGTAACACAACACAAACTGTGTTAACATGTGGATCCACCTACTTCAAGTACATGTCTTTGATCTATTAAAACCCATTGTTTACTCCTGATACTACAAAAAGGAAAAGAAAAGCAGGCAAAAAAGAACTCCCGGGCCGGCCGAGTGGCTCAGTTGGTTAAGAGCATGAGCTCTGAGCAACACGGTCGCCAGTTTGATTCCCACATGGGCCACTGAGCTGCCAACAGGTGGCAGGATGGCTCAGCTGGTGAGAGCACGTGCTCCTAACAACAAGGTTGCCAGTTCAACTCCCGCCATGGGATGGTGGGCTGCACCCCCGCAACTAAGATTCAACATGGCACCTTGAGTTGAGCGGCCGAGAGCTGCCCACAGGTGGCCGGATGGCAACTGAACTTGGAGCTGAGCTAGCTGTGCCCTCCACAACTACGACTGAAGGACAACAACTTGGCTGTTCCCCTTCCCCAATTCCCCAATAAAATCTTAAAAAAAAAAAACACCAAAAACAAAAACAACAACTCTCATGCTAAAAAAATATCTTGCTCCACCAAACTGACAATGAGATGGAAGTAGACATCAGGATTCTTGTTTGATTCAGAAAATGGTATCAATGGTCTGAAATCATGATTTGTTACATTGCATGGAATATACATAATATATACCGCACAATCATATTCAAACTATTCTTTAGGCCTAATTATACTGTTTTAATTTTGCTTTTACTATTTTCAGTCTCTTCTCCATCCTCACTGTAACGCTGCTCCTCCAAACCTGAGCTAAGTCATCATGATGTGAAATCCCTTAAAAAAGACTACACAAAGCAAAGATTTCACTACAGTCAAGCTATACCAAGGAAGTTTTCTTAATGAGTTGAGAACATTCTTGAAATAGTGTGGGGAGAGGTCTAAAGGCAAGTTTTTTTCTAGTTTTTGTGTCAGTGCTATCTTCTCATATTCTGAGAATGACCATTAGGCTGCTCCTTCCTACTAAGTATACCACCTTTGATTAAATTGACCTGTATCTCTCTCCCTAGTTCTGACTCAGATCCTAGCCTGGGAGTCGCTGAAATGAAGCTTCTATTTTTAACTCCTCTTATCATCTGATTATGTGAAATAAACAAGGCAAAATTCACGAGAAAAATTTACACAAAAAAGGCAAGGCCAGATTGGAAAGATAACCTAAAAAATTAAAGTAAGAAAAGTATACCTGATGATCACATAAGCTAATGAATGTCTATAGATTACAGTGCAAGTCATAAAGCTATGCAAGAAGGAAAATTTTCCCAAATATTTGAGAGTGGCTACGTGATGAAGCAAAGTAGTCAAGTTTCCAAGAGGAATTCTTATATAGTTCAGGTGTGAAAGATAACCACCACCAATATCAGACACTCAGCTTTGAAAATGGGCATAAAGATAGTATATTTTTTTAAAATAAAAATTCTCAATGCTATTACATTACCCTGAGTCACAATTAGATTTCATAAGGGCAAGGACTCTGTCTTATTCTATGCTATATCACTAGTAGGGCTACCTGACACAGATAAGTTTGCTCTTAAATATTGGTTGAATGAATTAACATGTTAAGCCTTCAAACATAAACTATACACAACTGGTAAACTGTAAGAAACTCCAAAACTAAAGGTAAGTTAAAAATACTTGCTATAGTAAATTTGAATTAAAAAAATTAACAGTGTTCACCAAATGAAATTATATTATAAAAATATGAACTTCACAATGGCTTTCTTCTGCTTAAATATCTTTTAAGAACCAGAGGAAGATTTCTGATATCTGGACAGGAGTATGCTGTTTTCAAATAAGCAACAGATGAACAGAATAAATAAATCTAAGATGAAATGCTTGAAATAAAAACTTGCCTTAATGGCCTCAGTTAGGATTGCATCCATTTTGGGACGTGGGGAGGAAGCCATCGGTGTTTGTTTCTGGGCCCTGGCTAGTTGGCTGGCAGAAAGGGTAGCCCAGGAAGGTATCGTTTTTTTCACTTTCTTCTCCTTTTCTTTAGACTGGTCTTTCTCACTTTAAAACAAAGAATTGTTATTATGCAAGATAAACTCTCCAGAAAGAGGCATAAAGTCAGAAAAGGAAAAGACCAAGAAGGGATAAAAACTAATGTTTTAATTTACTTCCACACTAAGGTGACATATAAATTAAACAAAATATTATAAAATAAAACTTCTTTTAAAAATAGGGTACTGTAAAGGAACCAAAAAGCAAAAAGGTGTTTTCTCTTAGGTACAGGGGAGAGGAGTCATAAACAAATTAGCACTGGTATCAAGAGCCAGTACATAAAAGAAACGAGAATTTAAAAATGTATTCTAGCAACAACTACCACAGGCGCAATTTAGTATAGTAGAAAGAACTCAAGCTCTGAAGGAAGAAAACTTAGGTTTGAATTTTACCTCTAACACTTATTAGCTATGATCTTAGCAAGTGACCTGAGCTCAGTCTCTTCAGTTGTAAAACAGTAATATAATATCAAACACTTCACAAGGTTGTTACAAGAATTACTAGATTATGTTTATAAAAACAATTTTGTGAGCCATAAAGCATTACACGAATTTTATTCTAGGTAATAATAACAGCACAACATGCACCTAAAATAGGAAAACTGATAAAAATTCCACGCTTTACTTATACCTATGAAACTGGATTCCCTGAGGATTACACATACAAGGTATAGTATTACTAAGTTATTCTTTCATTTAAAAAGTAACTACTGGGGCCGGCTGAGTGGCTCAGTTGGTTAAGAACTCGCTCAAGAGTGCGAGCTCTGAGCAACAGTTGTTCGATGCCCGGCCCAAGCTGAGCTGCCGCTGAGCTGCCAACAGGCAGCAGGATGGCTCAGCTAAAAAAAAAGTAACTACTAACCAATAGTAATTTCTGACCAATTATGAAAAGAATAAAATGAATGCTACCATCTGTACCGCAAAAAAATAAATAAATAAATAAAATTAAAAAAGAATTGCCACCAGATTGTATAGGTGGTCAATAACAAATTTGCTTTCAGATTCTCAAAGTCACCCTCCAACTGAAGACTTCATCAAACATATAGAGTTTTTAGGTCATTCTAGCAATAGTTTGATATATATTAATGCTTTCTAACATAAGCATATAAAAATAATTCACTCTCAGCACAGAAGGAATAAAATGGTGACGTGTCTCCCAGGTCAGATTCTTATAGTCATGTTTAATTTTTTATTGAAATTATGTCAATGCTTAAAACATCACTCTCTCCCACAATGAATTCTAAGCACAAAAATATATCCAAAGCCAAAAGGAATGAATTTTGGATTATTCAAACCATTGTTCTGATACCTACTACAAATTCTAATAGGCCACACAACTACATAATAAGCCTATTTCAAATGGTAATTCTGCGTTGGTTAACAGCTGGCTTGAGACGCCAGCTCTGAGCAGCAGGACCCGGGTTCGGATCCCACATGAGGGCCAGTGATGTTGCGCCCTCTATAGCTAAGATGGTGAACAACAGCTCAGCCTGGAGCTGGGCTGCTGTGAGTCGCCGGCAGCCAGCGTGAGCAGCCGGCAGCCAGCATGAACTGCCAAGAGCTGCCGGGAGCCGCCATCCAGTGGCCGGTGACCGATCTGCCTCAGCGGGGAAAAGCGCAAAGATAATACCAACATGGGCCAGTGAAGCGATGTCCTCCACAACTAGACTGAAGAACAAAAGGACAGCAACTTGTCTGTTCCCCTTCCCCGATTCCCCAACGCTGTTCCCCTCCCCCAAGTCCTCCAATAAAATCTTAAAAAAAAAAAAAAAAGTAATTCTAAAAAGTATAACCAAACAGCAAATATCCAGCATAAACCAATACCATAATACTTTAAAACAATCTGGTCTACTGTACTTTTATGTAGTCTTCAATGATAAACAGTAAGAAGGCATTACTCACTCTTTTTTGGTTTCCTCAGAAGGTTTGTTTTCTTCCTTCTCTTCATTCCCAGGTTCCCCCTTTGGCTGTTCCGTCTCACTAGATGTGGCAGGTGGAGTTTCATTCTCTTGTTCTTCTACAGTGGAGACAGATTCCTCTGAACTTATGTCTGGTTCTAAAAAATCAGGTGAGCAGAATTGCAGCAAGTAAACATATTAGAGTCCGAGTCAATAAAAGGGTAAAAGTGTATCTTATTAAACAGATAAGGCAAGTGTTCTAATTAACAGATGGATTCTAAAATGAACAAATGACTGTAAGTGAAGTTTTCTTTCCTTGTTACTCAAGTTGCCTCTGCAGGAGGGTGTTTATTCACTGTGTAAGAAAAGAAGAGAGGCCAGGAAATTACACAGAAAGGGAAACTCATTTACCCCAAATCAAATACCTTGATTATTCTACTCTGCAATATTAACAATAAGATAATTAAGAAATTAGCATTTCATACTTTAACAGCCAAATACTAGTAAAGGAATAATAGAAAATTAGCATGTATTTTGCAAGTGAAATGACTGGGGCAAGAACAGAAATATGAGAGAAGGAATACTGAGGTTTGCAGCTGCTTGTGTCTTTTTACAGCATGTCTCTGAGCAGCTACTATAAAACACAGAACCCTAAGGAATGGCTAAGCAGGGACTTCAAAGAAAAGGACTCCAGTGACAACAAAACAAACAAAAAAAGAAGTGTTTGGTCATTTAAATTATGTGACCTAATTAGTAGCATAATGATGAAGATTTCTTTGTGGGCTTCAACATAAACAAGAGAATTAAAAAATTCCACTTTCTTATGAACAAACCACATATATGCAATTCTAAAGGAATTTCTAGTTTCTCACAAATTAAATTTCTAAATCATATATTTCAGGACGGCCAACTATCATTTGTAAATCCCATCCAGGTTTGTGTTCTTCAACCAGACTTGCATGTAAATTGAAAATCCTCCCACATACCAGTATGTTTAGCCAAAATTGAGGTTTTAGAGTCAGATACATCTGGATTCAAGTTCAGTCTTCGTAACTTTCTAGCTTAGTATCTTAGTGCAAGTTCTTTGACATCTCCAAGGCTCAGTATCAGTAACCTTACCTCGCACAGTTATCATGAGGATTATATAACATGTTTAAGGGGAAGCCTGTAGGCCAGCACTTGTACTATGTGAGTGATTTTCATCCTCCTTTGGCCTCCTCTGCTGTTTCTAGAATGGTTTCATGAAGTAGTAAGGCTAGAACTTCATGATAACAATGGCAACTGATGATATAGATAACGGCAAGATATATTTTTTATCATGATTACCTTTTACTGCCCCTTGTTCCAGTGATTTGACCTAACTGGCTGTGTGGGTAAGAACTTGCTACTAGTCAAGTTTATTTATTTATATATAGCTTTATTCCAAAGAGAATGAAAAGCTCAGAACGGTTTACTGGGTTTTACTGTAATGATACATCTATATATTTAATTTCACATTATTTTTTCTTCTCAAGAATAACTGCTTAACAGTTGATGGCTTAATAAAGGTTCAGTCATTCAACAAATACTGAACATTTATTATGTATAAGACATTGTTTCCAACTCATTAAACTATTGTGTCTGCCTGTGTGAAATGTAGGATTTATAAAATTGAAAATATGAGTGAAGTCCAATTATTTTCATGTACAAAATATTATAATGGATAGAGAAGATTAAACAAACATACAACTTGTGAAGTGACTTACTGGTTCTTGATAAATTCTCAGTTGACTTTTCTAATACTTTATACCTGTACTCTCTGACATGTATTCTGAAACTGACGTCACTAGTGATTTATTTAGTGGCTTCAGTTGGCTGTTAAACAAATGTGGATCAAGATGGGCCACCAAGTGGCTCATCTCAGTGCTGGACAAAATAACTAATCTTCAACTCACCAGCACCTATTAATTTTTTAATATGCTGATTCCCACGTCACCTAAGCCTTAGGCCAGCATACCCAAATTGTTTATAGTAGTCATCTGAAGATTTTGAGACAAAAATCCAGCCTCAGCTTGAAAAGACTACATCCCTGGTACACCAAGAGATAAAGGCAACAAGGGTGCATATATTTTTAATTCCTGATCTATGCTGGTCAGCAAATATTTGGTTCTAATAGCCATGACAGGGATAGCATCATGTGTTAACCCTGGAAAACCTTAAATAAAAGGCATGGAAGAAAGGGGAAAAGGAAAAGAATAAGTGAATAAAGAAAAAGGTGATGAGAAGAAAAAAGAAAAACAGGGAAACGGAGAAGAGGTGGTTAGACATGCTACAGGCACTAGTATTCCAGGTTGGTAGTTCTACATTTCTCTCAATTCATTATGTTCCCACCAATCTTCTTTCCCCCAATACCAAACTTATAAACCAATGTTTGATCACCCATTTGTTCCTTTAAGGCCTCCTGATGATTTCTGGGTGAGCCTTCCACTATCCATCCTGAAGGCCCAAGTCCTCCATTCTTCCAGAATCTTCATCCCCATGACACTGTATGCCCAGAAGCTACTCTTTGACTGTTCGTCTTTCTCCAATCATTTTTCTGTTTTTAATTCTAAGAACATGAGATTTTTCACCTTCCAGAATCTTTAGACACAAGATGAAACTATTATTTTGTCCACATGGTCTGGAAATGACATACTGACAGGTACCAATTCGTTCTTTAAATGTTCCCCAAAACACTTCGCCATTTAAAAAAAACACACCAAAAACATTAAGTTCAAGGGAATTTATGGGACACTCCAAATTGGAGTAGAAACTCTTGCCTTTTTAAGTTGTCCACTGCTTTACTTTGTTTACCTGGCTTTCCTTTCTTCCCTTCAGCAAGCTTGCTTTTGGGAGTTCTGGGAGGAGTTTCCCGGGTAGAATTCACAGCTCGTCGAATCGGCATGGCGCTATCGTCTACCTTCTAAGAAAAGAGATGGCCATAATCACACATGCACAAAAAAACTCTCTTTTCTCTCTTTCCCAAGGGGTCTAACTGGGTGTCAAGATGGTGAATTCTAAGTCAACTCCAGGATCTGATGTAAATTACTTTTAACAAGTTTTTTTGAAGTGCAATATGACTTTTAAGAAGTACTTTTCAAAATATTTTCTTTTGGAAAGAATTTCAAATGGAAGTAAATAATACTTGATTTGGAATAAATATAGAAGGTTGAGGTTTTCTCAGGAATTTGAGGGGAAAGGGAAGATAAAAAGAAATATGTATATTTGATTTTTTTCAGATTTACAACCCAGATTCCCTAAAGTGGGGGGTGGGGAGGGGGGGAGGAACATCTCCGGAGAAGGACCCAGCAGAGCCTGAAGTCAAGGACTGATCCAAGAGTGAACTTCAAGAATGTGTCAGCCCCTACCTCACCTAACTTGTCCACGTGGATCAGCTGAGATCCTACTATAAGTGGGAGTGTCTTAGGATGGACGAGTTCACCTTGAGACGTATCAGTCGCCATTTAAAATAATTTCTAGGCCCAAGTACAGGTTACACTCTGAAGCCTCTGCTGTTAACCACAAGGATTTTTCCTAATGGTTTCAGTGTGGTGAAAAGTCAACCTAAAGCACAGAAAAGATCTGGTGTGAAGATTAACAGAAACAAAACTAAACTAAAACATCTAAATTTAATATACATCCAAAGGGAATAAAATTTAACTATAATACTTATAGTTAAGCGACAGATGATTCGGTCAGTTATTATTCAGAAAGAGAAAAACTCTATCAAAATACAGACTATGTAAAGCAGCGACTAAGAAAATGCACAAGCCATGGCAGCTGCTGCATCTTTCACATGAACAAAGGCAGCAAGGACAAGAAAGCTCATAAGGAACCAAGTCCCATCCCATCCCCACCCTGCTACCACCAGGAACTTACAAGGGGCACAAATGCTGCTGAAGAACATAACATTCTAAAAGCCTCCAGACCCAGAGAAGCAAATTTAGACCGTCACCTAGGAGAACAGAAGTATGCTTCTAACACCCTATTTGCCAAATCTTTAATTTGTAAGCAAAACTAGCACAGAAGAACCTAATTAAATGTTCAAAGATAAAACCCATGTAATCACTCAGATTTACCTGAACATTAACACCCCTCTGCCTCCAAAAGCTCATTTGGGACTCAATGACGCTTTATAATAATAATCCCTCCAAGAATGTAAAAAAAAAGATCAGTTAACTGTTTAGGTCTCTGTACTAATGAACATTAACAAAGAGTTGGCTGACTGACTAGTCTACTTTAAGCTCTAACCCTGTCTAGGAATTTAAGAGCGTTCGATTTGTCAGGCAATAGTCCCAAGCTACAACAACTGGGACTAATCCAAAACATCCCAACACAGAGAATGCTTTCACATTTACAGGGAAAATCTTTTTATGGAAACGCCAAGAGCATGCCAGAGTTGTCATCTGTCAATCAGCTGCAAGGAAAGGAGCTGAAAGAATTCAAAATAGTATAATGTACTAAAACTTACTATTGAGAGTAAATTAGGAATGTCCACGAATATTTTAGAAATATCAACTGTTATATAAAAACGACTTAATACGCTCATATAGCAATTCACTTCAAAGAATTATAAAATTGGGTTTAAAGGCAGTATTTAGGTTTGTGAGACCTAAAAGTCTATCTTGGAATAATTTCAATATATACATCTGTTCATTCATCCACTAGCTAGCACTTGGATAGTAATATATTTTTCTTAATAATTTTTAAACTAAACAAATATTTTTATATGTGAACATTATACAGAAGTAAAACATCACAATCAGGTTATTCTGGTAAGGCGATATTGATAGTGAATTCTTCTTTCTTAACTCACGATAACACACTAGCTGGGTTGAGAATGCTACTGTGAAGTCAAAACCTTGAAGAGTCTCCATTAAAAGCTATCTCTAAAAAATATTTTCCCTGTAAACAGAATACTGAAAAAAAGGTGTCAAAACCTTCCAGTCAACTCTGTATTCACTAGTTACTAAAAATTAAACAGGTTGAAAAAGGGAGGGGAGCACAGGAAGCTACTCTTAATGCCAAAGTGATAAAACTGACTAACTATAATCAGGACAAAAAAGGTCCATAAAGACATCAGACATCATTAACTTAAGGACAAGAACGACAGTTTACATAGGCCAGATATATGCCCAGGTTGGAATAACCTCAGAAACAAGTACAGAAGAGCACAGTGTGAAAAATAAGTTGGTTTGCTAATCTTCTTGGTTGTGGGCATGCTCATGCACGCATGCGTGTGCGCATGAGCGAGCGCGCGCGCGCGCGCGCGCACACACACACACACACACACACACACACACACACACACACACCTAAAACCAACCAACTACCACCCATGCCCTTATTTCACTAATCTCATCTCTTGCTGCTCTACTTATCACTACTTTCTTGACTCCCAACACACAGACCTTCTTTGGCCCTTGAACTGTTCTCCGCTCATCCTTGTATCAATATTTGCACTCGCTGTTCTCTTAAACTGGAACACTCTTTTCCTAGATGCTTCAATCAGGTTTCTGCTCAATGTTACTCCCCCTCAGAAAGGTCTCCCATCCCTCTTATTCTTCTTCAGGTTTCTTTATAGCATTTCACACCACCTAAAATTCAACATATATCTGTTTACTTGTTTAGTACGTATCTCTCCCAATGGAATGTACAAGGACTAGGACTTAAACTCACCACTTATCCCCTGCACCCAGAAGTGTCCAACACATAGCGGGTGCTGGGTAAATATTGGGAAAATAATTGAACGCACAATGACATCTGATAGTGCTTATTACTGTATTCAGTATATGTGAAGAACACTTAAAAAGTAAAACCCAAAGTTGTTTGAGATAAATATTAAACAATGTTTGCCTGGGCTGGCCGAGTGGCTCAGCTGGCTCAAGAGCGTGAGCTCTGAGCAACAGGGTCGCTAGTTCAATTCCTGGCCTGAGCTGAGCTGCCAACAGGTGGCAAGATGGCTCAGCTAAAAAAAAAAAAAAAAAAAAAAAAAGAAAGAAAAGAAAAGTCTGTCTCAGGTCTGACTTTCCTTAGGAAAGGTCATAGAATTTAAAGCTTCAGTCTACAGTACTTTCTTTATCATAGGTTGGTTATTGAGTTATTTAACCTCTTGGGTACCAATTTATTTGAAAGAAATGTTGCATATGGAACAGATTTAATTTTTTGGTATTTGGAGTAATATGTAAAAGCAGATTTTATGTAAAAATTCATGTATTTCTAAAAAACCAGTGATATACATAGTAATGAGATGACTTCAGGTAATTAGGATTGCAAAACAAAAATAAATAAATAAAAACAATACAAAACTAAAACCAATAAATTCAAGATATAACAAAAAGCAAATGACTTAATACTGGGTTGTTGGAAAAGTCATGACGTATTTTTTCCGATGTTTTTCGTTGCAAAAATGCATCATGACTTTTCTGACAACTCAACAGTTATGAAGAGTATGGTATTTTTCAAAGCAAGTAGGTAAATGCAGTGGCACTTGGCATTGTTTGCACTGCCAGGTAGTCTCTCCTAATTTTATGTTTATAACAAACACGGCACCTTTTTGTAGGGTGTTGCTTGGAGTCAGCTGACGGAATACTCTCAGGAAAGTGTGCCCAATTTTTCGCCTGCAAACGAAAAGGTGTATCTCTATTTGAAGGACGTCCACAATTATTAGGCAATGACACTTGCTCCAATAATTGTTCAGCAATAGCTAGATGAAAGCAAACAATGCCTGTTTTGGTTGTGCAGTTGACTTTAGAACATAAAACATACAAAGCATTATAAGAGGCTATGTCTATTAGATAAAAAAACATTTTCTTATATCCCTTTATACATTTTCTCATAACAGGGAAGCTATCGTCTTCATCATCTTCACTTTGTATTTCACTGTAATCGCCATTTATAGGATCACTAAAAAATTCATCAGATTGCTCAAAGTCACTTTCATTAAAACTTTCGTTATCACTTTCATAAAATATATTCCTTATTTCTGACATTTAGGGCAGTGTATTGCAAACAAGTTCACCGAAATACTGTATTGTTTCTTCTGTTACAACTGATACAAACTATTCTAAAATGAACAAGAATGTACATGTTAAATATTGTCTTAAATTGAATGACCAGTTAGACTCATCATCTTGCACTTAGGCAAAGCAAGTGCATGACAAGTCTCAGTCGTCAAATGTACCCAAGGGGTTAATAAGTTCACTGTTGGGCCGGCCAAGTGAAGCGTTGGTTAAGAGTTTGCTTGGGACGCCAGCTCTGAGCAGAAGGGCCCCGGTTCGGATCCCACATGAGGGCCAGTGACGCTGCGCCCTCTACAGCTAAGATGGTGGACAACAGCTCGACCTGGAGATGGCGTAGGCTGCAGTGTGGTTGGCTGGCTGGCAGTGGGCGTGAGCTTTCGTGAGCCCCCCGTCAGTGGCCGTCCAATGGCCGGCGAGCGTCTGTCTCACCTGGGAAGAGCTCAGTGACAATACCAACATGGGCCAGTGAAGCAACGTCCTCCACAACTAGACTGAGGAACAAAAAGGACAGCAACTTGTCTGTTCCCCTTCCCCGATTCCCCAACGCTGTTCCCCTCCCCCAACAAAAAAAATCTATAAAAAAAATAAATAAATTCACTGTTCATTTCATTACAGAGCTAACAAAACTATATGGATGGTTAGTTCACAATGCCTTTACATCATCATGTACCTATTAATTTAACTTCTGCTGCTGCATTTTAATGACCAGACTTTTAGACCGCCACACTTGTTGCCTGGCAGAGATCTAGTTAACTAGCTGGTTCACTGCATACTTGGTGCCTAAGAACATATGGGCATAGAACAGGTGCTCAACAAATATTTGTTAAATTAATGAACAGATGAAACTTAAACTTAGTAAGTTTTCACTTGGGTTTCTATATGTGCCAAAAATAATCTGAGTTTACCTGTAGTTTATGTGGTCTTCCTGTGGTCATCAATCTGTTTTTGTTTTTTTAACTTAATGTTAGATTGACAATATAAAGATTTGCTTTTATCTAGAGAAATGTTAAATTGTTTTAATGCAGGCAATGAAAAAAAATTGTAAAATTTCAGTTTTAGATTACTTCCTCTACATTAAGAGAAACCAACAGAAAAATAAGGCGCTTAATGTATTTCAGTTTGATATCCCTGAAAATATGCATTTTAGGGAAAGGACTATTATTTCATATTTTACCATAACATGTACGCAATACATTATACACAATAAAGTCATTGGCTATGCAATGAATAGATCACACTGTTTCCAATCTCAATTCACTATATTCAGACTTAATGGGTAATGCCACAAAAAGCATGCCTGTAATTTGAGTGCAGGCAACTTTTTTTTTTCACTTTCATGTTTCAATAAATCAGTACGTACTTAATTAGTGTTTATGTTGGGCACAGATAATATGGACACTACACGGCCCTTCCTCACAAGATAATCACAATCTAGCTGAAGAGTTAGTATTTTTATCTACATATGAAGAGTTCCGGACACTTCCTCCACCAACTTCCCGTCCTCAGTCTTCCAAATAAGCTTAAAAACAACGTCCCCATCCCTCCATACACACCCCAAATCCTTTAAAATATTACTTCAACTTTGAAACACAATACACTCAACTTTTGAAAGGAGCAATAAAATTTAAAAAGCTCGTAATAGTTTCATGCTTATGCCAGATTAAACAAATTAAAGTACCTTCCAAAAGAAAACTAATCACTAGTCGAACTTCATTCTAATACAAGACAGATTGCCCATAAGGTCCTAGGTGAATTCCTACGTGCCTACATGTATTTCTCACTGGATGCTTCTCACTTTTCAATGTAATAAAAAATCAGGGAACATAATAAACAGAGGGAATTTATGTGCAGAAAGGGCAGTCAAGTTCACTTGCCCAGTTCGCTCCCTCAAAAAGATTAAGTGAGGGGGGGAAAAAAAAAAAGGTTAAGCGACACATCCTCCGTCACAGTGGTCAGTTAGGCATCAAACCTCAGAATCTGGAGCTCTCACTTTACCACTCCTGCCTCCATCTCTTTACAAACGCTTATATTTACAAGCGTGACTTACTTAAAACCACGTCGTCTAAAGTGCGGTAACAAGCTCTAGGAACGCTACACGGGAAAACGAAAGCTTAGGCCCCTGTCACAGCAGGAGCAGCAGTGCCGGCGCCGCCCTTTCAAGCAGCGCCAACAGCTCTGAAACACTCGCCTAGACCGCTGAGCAACACGGTGAAAAGAACAGCAGAGACAAAGAAGCTGGGAGCCGCCGGTGCAGTGCGTGAACAAAAGGCGGGGGGGGGGGGAAGCGGAGCCAAAATGAAGACAGCGATGCAACTGACGGGCGGGCTCGGTGGCGGCAGACACCGAGAAGCTGCGGCGCGGCTGCAGCTCCGGATGGGATGCACGCGGCCGAGGCCGACGCCACCACCCGGCAGCACCCACCCGAGCAACACGAGAAGCCGAGGACTGCGAGCACCAGCGATCCGCGCACTCACCACTGGGAGCTCCGTAATGGCGGCGGCAGAAGCGAAGAACCCGGGGGGCGGGCCCGCTGCAGCCAGTCACTGCCGCCGGCATCTTTCGAACCCGCGCGGAAAACGGCTGAGGGGGTGAGGGGGAGGGCCGCGGCGGACTGCCGGGCCCACTGGCCTCGGAGCATGCGCAAGCACTCAGCCAATCGGAGCGCGGTGGCGGACGCTGGCGCAGGCGCGCTGGGACGCAAGGCCCTAGACCAGGGAAGCACTCCCCCTCCTCCCTCCGTCCAAACAAAACAAGGGCGGGAGCGCGCGCCAGAGGGCCCCGGAGGAAGCGTTAACAGGAGGGGCATCGGGGGCAAGGTCGCAGGAGGGAGAGAAAGGAGGCGCGGAGTGGCTGGAGAAGGCAGACAAAAGGCGCCACCTCCCAGGACCCGAGCGCGCCCCGCCCCCTCTCGGGTAGCGGCATCAGCGCCCAGAGCTAGCGGCCTCCGCCGCTCGCCTTCGGGATCCAAGGAGCCCGCGCCCACTCCCAGGCCGCCTATTCCATCCTCCGTTACCTCTGCGCTTCCCCCTTCCTGGTGCCTGCGTCCCGCACGGCCTCTCGGCGCCACTCCCGCTGCCACTCGTCGCCGCCGCCGCCGCCGCCGTCCTCCAGGCCCAGCTGCCGAGCTCTGCCGCCCCGCCCCCCTGTCCGCGGCCCCGCGCGCGTGCGCGTGCCCTCACGTCGGTCCCGCCCCTCCTCCTGCGCTGTAGCGGAGAGAGGGGATCCGTGCGTCCCCGACCGAGCGCGCGGCAGCGCTAGAGGGTGCTCTGTGCTCGGAGGCTGCTTGCGCAGGAACTGTGCGTCCGCGCACATTTCACGGGACACTGCTCTGGTAGTGCCTGTTGGTTTAGTGGTGCGGTTTCGTTTTCCTCAGATGGGCAATCTTCACTCCTTACCCGTTCCGTACTCTCTAGTTCAGTCCCTGGTCTTAACTGGGTTTCCGTTTGGCGACCCGTCTGCCTTTAGAGGGAGTAGCCCTTTACTCCTTTCTCAGTTTAGCCACAGTACGAGAGCAAACTACAGCACTCTTATTTGAAGACCGCAGAATTGGAAAACCAGATAGCGGAGAATTCAGTACCTCACTTAATTGGTTCCGATTAAGTATCCAGACAGTACAGGGCAGAGGAGTTACTCAGGAAAAGAACTGGACAAGTTGCTTTTCTAATCTATAAAGCAGTCTTCCTTGACTCCCTAATCTGCAAACTCAAGGAGGGTTCTCAAAAAGGAAACCCTGGGATTCGAAGGAAAAAGCGGGAATTTCCTTTGACTTGTCATATTACGTTGATATCAGCGTACTTAGGCAATCAATGTACATACTGTTGAAAAGTGTAATTTTTCGAAGCAGGTTTGGAAAAATTCAGAGGTTTTAAAAGGTGATTTGTGGGGGAGGTCGACGGGGCACGGAAATAATAAACAGTAGAATTGACCAGAGGCTCACAGGAGTGTGACCAACACTCAAATGCATGTGTCAATCATTCTGAAGATTTATGAAACCGTTTAAGCAGTTTACACTGCCTCACCGGCTTTCCCAGCCATAGCTATTCACCCCAACAGTTCCAAAGTCAGCTGTATAAAAGTTTAAGCACCACCACAAAAAATTCCTTATGTAGTGAGCACTATCATTAACGTCCCCATGGCATAACCAATTCCTTGGCCCTCTGGTGTCATATTCAACCTGTTCACAAGGGGTTTTGGTCATTTGGGCCATTTTGTCATCCTGCTCACTTCGTTTGTTATCAACATTTCTATCCTTTCTCTACCTTTTTAAAGACCTATTCCATTTTTATGCATTCATATGCTTAAAACATCTAACCTTTCTTTTTTCCCTAACGTGGCTTTAGCCCCATCTCATTCAAGAAACTACCCTAGATTGCTCCTCTGCAGATTTTTGCTTACACACACACACACACACACACACACACACACACACACACAAAATTCTGTTCACAACATGTATACCCAGGAAGGGAAAACCCTGCAACAAAATTCTCAAGGGTGCGTGTGACGGATGCAAACACATGTAACCATGCCCAAGGCTCCCACGTGCTGAAGTCTGAAGCTGTAAATTTTCTACTTTTAAAGGGGTTTGAGCCTGGCCGAGTGGCTCAGTTGGTTAAGAGCTCGCTCAAGAGTTTGAGCTCTGAGCAACATGGGTTCGATGCTCGGCCCGAGCTGAGTTGCCGCTGAGCTGCCAACAGGTGGCAGGATGGCTCAGCTAAAACAAAACAAAAAACCCCCAACAACTTAAAGGGGCTTGACATTTTTACTATACATGTATATTGGCTGAGGCATTTTACATCTGCTAAATATAACTGGCCAGTTTTTTTTGTTGTTGTTTTTTAAAGATTTTTTATTGGGGACTTGGGGGAAGGGAACAGACAAGTTGCTGTCCTTTTGTTGTTCAGTCTAGTTGTGGAGGACGTCGCTTCACTGGCCCATGTTGGTATTATCATTGCGCTCTTCCCGGGTGAGGTAGTTGCTCGCTGGCCATTGGACGGCTGCTCACGGCAGCTCCTGCTGGCTGCTAGCCATTCATGGTAGCTCACGGCAGCCCAGTTCCAGGTCAAGCTGTTGTTCACCATCTTAGCTGTAGAGGGCGCAGCGTCACTGGCCCTCAGGTGGGATCTGAACTGGGGCCCTGCTGCTCAGAGCTGGCATCCCAAGCCAACTCCTAACCAACGCGCCACTCGGCCAGCTCCAACAACTGGCCAGTTTTGATTTTTATATCTAGTTGCATCTGAGTTAAGGCTCAATGGGGGTATGGTTTTATAGCTTATCTCACTTGGCTTTCTTTGAGCTATCCTAATAAAAATATCATTCAATTGTGTTTGTTAAACAATTACATGATGATTTTTGTATACTTAAACTGTTACGTTGTTTGACCTTCTGCAATGGAGAGGACACACACCTTGACAAGTTCAGGAGCAGGACAGCTCTCATTCAGTGTATGGAGGTTACCATCGGAGCACTAGTAAGACCCTCTTGCTCAGAGACCTGTCACACTGATATCAAAAGTCTCTGGTTCATTTCTTTGGTTTAAGCTTCACTCTCTTTTATAACACTTTAAAAGTGCTGATATCAAGGAGCACTAACAGACAAGCCTCAAACTGATCATTGAGAAGCATTGTTTTCACCTCAAGACTTGTAAATCCAAACCTTTCCATTTGACAGTCAGGGACCAGAAGAATACGAACTCTGGGTGTCTGACTAGAGGAGCTTCTAGGAGAGAGAAAAGGGGTACATGTGCTGTACCCTATGATGACATCACAGTTCTGTCCAGGACCACCCAGCTACAGGAGTGACTTGGGGATCCCAGAAACATGAGGAAAGGTAGGGTTTTGTGAACTAGAAAAGCAAGTGTTAAGAAGTCCCCATAATGCAAAGGCACCATCTCTAGTTTTTAACAAAAACACCCACTTTTTCAGAAGCCAAGTCCCTGTTGAAACTTTAGTACACAGCAAGCTTTGCAGACTTCACAGCCTGTTGCCAATGCAGTTGATTGTCTTTTGCCATTTCTGAAATTTAAAGCTAAGTGATAAGTCTGTTAGGCTAACAGGTCTTCTTTATTTTTTATTTAAAGATTTTATTGGGCAATCGGGGGAGAACAGTGTTGGGGAATCGGAGAAGAGGAACGTACAAGTTGCTGTCCTTTTGTTCTTCAGTCTAGTTGTGGAGGACGTCGCTTCACTGGCCCATGTTGGTATTATTATTGCGCTCTTCCCGGGAGAGGCAGTCGCTCGCCGGCCATTGGACAGCCGCTCACAGCAGCTCTCGAAAGCTCATGCCTGCTGCCAGCCAGCCCCACTATAGCCTATGCTGTCGCCAGCGACTCACGGCAGCCCAGGTTCAGGTTGAGCTGTTGTTCACCATCTTAGTTGTAGAGGGCACAGCGTCACTGGCCCTCATGTGAGATCCGAACCAGGGCCCTGCTGCCCAGGGCTGGTGTCCCAAGCCAACTCCTAACCAATGTGCCATTTGGCCAGCTCTAAAAGGTCTTGTATTGTGTAGAAAAATAAAATATGTGACTTTGGAGAGTTAGGCTTAAGGGATAGAGGAAACTGAAGCAATTGCAGATTTTAAGAGTGTTCCAGACCAAAGCTATGATGCCGCAGCCATGAGGTTCAGCACTGTAAGATTTATCTACTGTGTAACTCATAGTCCACCTATGTGAACAAAGAGAGGTTGAAGAATAATTCTTAATTGCCTGGTGAAGAGAGAAAGTTTCTGTTCCTAGCAAGGCTGATCTTTATTCTTCCCACAAATCCAGCCTGAGAGATTGCACGCAGAGGGAACCAATGACCAGGCCAGGGCTTGGATCCCTTAAGAATGTATGGCCCCGGTAGGGTTGGGGGTCACTTGATTTTTCTGGTTTTCAGCTAGGAAGACTGGAAATGGCTCTTCTAGCTTGGAAAGGGATGGCAAGAAAATGAAGAATTTACACTATTAGGCAGAAAAATGGAAGCTGATGAAAAGATTTAATATTACTCCTCCACCACCAACCACTTAATGGTTTTCTCTTTTATTGTTACCTTAGGCCAAGACCCTGGTTCAGAGACAAGCAACATGGCTGGATCCTCCTCTGACAGTGTTGCACTTTCTTTCCTCTGCTCACTGGTGGCAGTAATTTTACTCCAGCCCAGTCATCAAACTAAAGCTTTTTCCTAAATTCTGAAAAATTCTGATTCTGAAACATGTCTAGTCCCAGTGGCTTTGGATAACGGATTGTGGACCAGTATATACAAACCAAGTAAGTTTTACAAAATAATATGTTATCCTCATATTTCTAGTTATTATTTTTTTAAATGCTGGTTGCAATCCATTAATTTTGCCATTCACAGTTCGAGAAGCTCTGTCCTCGATGTCATTAGCCCTTCGGTGTTCCACTGGAGCCAACATTTCTAGCTACTTAAGGGGGTCTGAAAAGTGTTAGTGCCAAGAGTTTACTATCGTTTTGAGGATAAGGGCTTTAAACAACAGTTGTCCTTTAGTTTGAAGCATCTGCCATATTGGATGGAGGTATAATTCAGCCTCTTAAGGGAACAAAAACATTTCGGAATGGTATTACAGGTGTCTTCCAGAGGGGACTAGAATCTAGAACCAAGGTAGTAGCTAAGGTAATTTGTCCTGCCATCTCTAGGGGAAACAATAGGATTTGCCATCAAGCCTGTTTCCATGTCAGGTTCTGGAAGTTGTATGTGTTGAATTATCTTTCCCCCTTTTTAAACACCAGAGGCAGGACAACTGCATTTTAGACAGACTAAAGACATTCTATTTGTCAGATTACTAAAAAGAAAAACCATCCAGTTTTGTTTTGACTGTGCAACATGAAGCATATTTGCCAACAGTACTATTCTCCCTGCTTAGCTCCTACTTTGTGGCTTTAAGGGCAAATCTTATTTGCGGGAAGATGCCTGCAGGATAACCAGGCCTTTGATGGTGGCCAGAGATGAGTGAGGGTCAGATCAATGACACCTAGGGTGACCAAGTGTCCTGGTTT